TTACTAATCATATCCAATTTAGTCTGAAATTAACTCTCCCTATCCAGAGAGATAGGTAGGGAAAGGGCCCAGGAGCAAGCAAAGGGGCAGGAGGATGACAGCTTGGGGCTCGCCAGGAAAGGTGTCAGGGCAGTTCTGCTGAAATAACCAGGGCTTAACAGTAGGTGGAAAGCAAGGCATTCTGGCTGGCCAGTCAGTGAAAACCTATTAAGAAACTGTTAAAAGGCAATGTCAAAGGGGAAAAAAATGTTTGGTTTTTGCCATTTTGTATAGGACTGTTATATTGTTTCCATCATAGTGGTCAATCAAAGCAGGTCTAAAAGAAACTGGAAGGGAATTCCCTGGCGGTCCAGTGGTTGGGACTCTGTGCTTTCACTGCCGAGGGCGCAGGTTCGATCCCTGGTTGAGGAAGAGTCTTAACCACTGGACCGCCGGGGAAATCCCTTCCTTTTCTTCTTAAGGTATCCCCTTTACTCAATGAATAGCAAAGGAAAGGATTTAGCTAAAAGGCAGCAACAGAAGTATGAGCAGATGTGAGATCACAGACTCACACAGATCACAAAGACTATTTCAAGAAGGGGGTGTTCAAGTTAAGAACTCAGAAATTTCCTCTTAGTTCAGTAACCAGGTTGTTGGTCATCTTGCGAAAGCAGTTTCTGTAGAGAGGCTGGGCAGAGGGTTGGAAAATGAGTAGGCAAGTAAAGCAGCCTGAGTGTAAACAACTCTTTCAAGAAGCGTGGCTGTGAGTGGGCACAGCGAGGTAGGGTGGCAGCTTAGGGGTCCAGAGTGTCTCTTTTAAAGTTGGGGAGATTTGAGTACATTTAAATGTGGTTGTGAAGCAGCAAGGAGGATGGGAGATAAAGGAGAGTTAGGGGATCACTGTTAACCATTACACCCTGAGAAGGTGGCAAGGCTGGGAGCCAGAGCCCAAGTGTAGGGATTAGCTTCGGACAGGATAGGAGGGAGGAAAGGACAAATACGAATACAGTTAAATATGTAGTCTTAGTGTCAGTATTTCAAGGGAGTTCTCATCTGATGATCTGTCTCCTAGAGGGAGATGATAAGATGTTCTACTGAAGCATAAGGTGGAGGAGGTTTGAGGAATTTGAGGAAGGTTTGAAAAAGTCACCACGGAGAACCGAAAGGAAGCTGACTAGGCAAAAGGATTTCTGAGCAGGGACACTAATCTGGAGTGGTCATGGTGTTCTGACACCATGTGGTCATGCAAAGTGCTCCTGAGTGTAAACAGACAGTCGAAGTGATCCAAGATTGGGGGTCTGCAAGAGGTAAATAAAGAGGGTGCTGAGACGCGGGCAGCAGAGTGGCTGAAATGACAGACCATGGAATCTAAGTTGGACAGGGAAGGAGGGGAGAACATGGTAGAGCTGATTAGGAGAAAATGGAAGAATTAAGGGATTACAGGGTCTCATGGGTCCAAAATAGTGAATAAATGAGAGAGCTGGAAGGATAGAAAGCTGTAGCCAAAGTAGGAGGCTTGAATTTAATATTTCAGAACAGGTAAGAATCTACTATTTCCTAGAGGTGGGAGAGAGAAGTGGAAATGGTGAGAAAGGTCTCTGGTTACAGCGTCGAGGGCAGGACTGAGCCAAGCATCAGTCTTCGATGAATGAGGGGAATGATCGGGAGGAAAGCAGATGACAGCCAGGGAGAGAAGTGGAGGGGTAAACAGCCAGACTGCTGGAGCCTTAAAGAAATAGGGCCTTTTCACACAAGATGGGAAACAACCTTGCAGAAAAAGAATTAGATTCCTTCAGATATGAGGTCTGTACCTATGTTTATTTTCCATATTACTGTGTTTTAAACTTTTTGGGACTACCAAACTTGATGAACACATGTTAGATACTATCTCCTGTTCTCTCTCTCTCCATATATTTTTAAGATTATTTTTTTAAACTTGAAAAGATTTTTAAATTTTCATTATAGAATATGTGTTACTTACAGAAAATTCCAGGTAGAGAAGCATAAAGATGCAAAACAAAAATCACTCTTATCCCTACCACTCAGCAGAAGCCAGTATTAACATTTTAACCACTTCCTTCTAGTACCTACATGGCTGTGATTATACTACATATATGGCTTTATATTGTTTTATGCAATTAACATTAGATCATAAGCATTTGCTCATGTCATTCTGTCAGTGTGGCAAAAGGTCAACAATCAGTAAATCCAGGTGAAGAGTATATGGGTGCTCACTGTACTTCTTCAACTTTTCTGTAGGCTTGAAGTTTTTCAAAATTAAGAAGTTACAGGTGGGGGGAAGGGATAAATTAGGAATTTGGGGTTAACAGATACACACTACTATATATAAAATAGATAAACAACAAGGACCTACTGTATAATATAGGGAACTATATTCAGTATCTTGTAATAACCTATAATGGAAAAGAATCTGAAAAAGAATATATATCTAAGTATATAACTGAATCACTTTGCTGTACACCTGAAACATTGTAAATCAACTGTACTTAAATTAAAAAGAAAAAAGTTACAGATAGAAAGGGAACTAATCACAAAGAAAAAACAAGTGAATGATAAGACAAGATTCAGGATACTGGTAGGGCAGGGGGCAGGAGAGGAATGTGAAATATGGAAGACCATTACGAGGCTTCAAAGATGTTACTAATGTTATATTTATTAAACCGATACTGAATACATGTGTTCATTTTAATATTCTTTGTGGTTGATGTATGTTATACATACTCTTTTGGACCTGTGAAATAGTTCTCAATAATAGATATAATTTTTTAAATTAAAAACCTCCTTTCTGGGCTTCCCTGGTGGCGCAAGGGTTAAGAATCTGCTTGTCAATGCAGGGTCCACGGGTTCGAGCCCTGGTCCAGGAAGATCCTGCATGCCGTGGAGCAACTAAGCCCGTGTGCCACAACTACTGAGCCTGTGTGCCCTAGAGCCCGCGAGCCACAACTACTGAGCCCGCGCGCCTAGAGCCCATGCTCTGCAACAAGAGAAGCCACCGCAATGAGAAGCCCACGCACTGCAACCAAGAGTAGCCCCCACTCGCCGCAACTAGCCTGTGCACAGTAACGAAGACCCAACGCAGCCAAAAATAAAATAAATTTATAAAAACAAACAAAACAAAACAAACCTCCTTACTATCATGAACTTACCACTCCAGCTGTATGAGGTCCACATACTACTTGCTGAATAGTTTCTTACTCAACCTAAACTGCCCTTCTTCCTCCTCTCTGCTATATAGGCCTTAGTTATGTTTTGGGGCCTACTTCAAGTACAACTACATATGAAAGTCCTTCAGTCCCCCTCCCCTCCTCTCCCTAAGAGCTCTCTTCTCTGAACTCTCAGATTTCTACAGCCCACAGCAATCATCACTACCACATATCCTTAATTAACTTTTTTGTGTGTTTATTTCTGATCTCAAATGTCTCTCCTCCCTCCACCTAACTAATCCCTTGGTCACTAAAACATTTTCAAGTTGCTTTAAAAGATGCACAATGAAAAACAATGAAAAAATATGTTTCCCTTCCCAGTAGTAATGACTACAGTTTCTTGTGTATTCTTCCAGGAATATTCTATGGAAATTCATATTTTTTTTCCCTTTCATCAATGGTACCATATTATACATGCTCTTCTATAACTTTCCTTTTTTCCCTTCATATTTTAATTAGTTTTTAAACTAGAACCTCACTAATGTCCTCTAAAGTCTAACTACATCACACACATTGATTATACTTTGCTTCCGTACTTTTCTCCTCAAAGAACGAGAAATTAGTGAGGAATGATTTCTTTAGAGAAATCACACTACTTTTTGTCCCATTTGGCTTCATTTGTTAATGTAATCATGACACTACATAAATTTGTTTACACAATACTGTAAAAATTCAAAATTATCAATAAAGCTAAATATCCCCCTTGACTATTATTTCCCAAAAGTAACCACTGTGACCAATTTGGTATGTATATGTCCAGAATTTGTAAAAGAAATTTATATACATATAAATGTATCTGTAGAAACACATAGTATTGTTTTTAGTTTCTCTGAACATAAATGATATCATAATGTATATACTGTTTTGCAGCATGTCTTTCCATTCAACAATATAGTAAAGAATCTGACTATGTAGATGTAACTCATTTTTCTTGACTGCTGTATAGTTTATTTAGTTATTCATTACTGTTGGAAATTTAGAGTGTTTCCAATTTTTTGCTATTACAAACAACGTTGTAATGAATATCTTTGTATGTGTCACCTCATGCACAAGTGTGATGACTGTTTCTCTAGGGTAGACGATAAGAGGTGGAACTCTGTAACAGAAAACATGTCAGTTTAATAATGTACTAGATAAATTAACCATTGCCAGTTCTGTAGTACAGCTGTTATAAGTAAGTTATACATGTGACCATCAATTTTACATATTAGTTCCTTTAAAACCCTAGGACATCCATTGACTTATAAGTCATTTAGTATATAGAACAAAGAACAGCAGACTAGAAGTTGGAAGATACAGGTTCAAATTCCAGTTCTGTCCCTAACATCTAACTTGATCTTAGGCAATCCTTTCGACATCTGGGCCCCAGTTTCTGTACCTACAAAATTAGATTAAAGTGATGTTTCCTAAAATACGGTACCTATACCACTGGTAGCATGCAAGATGCTTTTATTTTTATTGACTTTTAATAATTATTTGTATTTTAAAATAAATTAGGAAAATTATAATTACCTTATCAAATCAAGGATTTACGGATATTATTTCTTAGTTATATAAAATTTACTTTTTAAAGGACATTTGTTTAAGTTAAAGAAAAGTGAATTGAAAAGGAAAATAGTATGCATATAATAGTATAGGTGGCATGTAAATATGGCAAGTCATGACTATGATATATGAAGGACTGAGGTTTCTTGCTTCACGAAATCTAGAAGAGGTTAGATTAAAGCAGTAGATCCCAGACTTTTAGATTACAGTGACCAGTAAAACATTAAAAAAAAAAAAAGTTAGTGACCAACATGGAGTTCCTGACTTTTTATTGCGCTAATTAATGACATTAAGAACAAAACCAAAAAAAAAAAGAACAAAACCAAACCTATATACCCATCACCATTATTTAACAGAAAGATATTAAAAATATTATTTTGTAACTATAACACAAGTACCTGTATGTTGAAAAATTTTCAAGTTGTACAGAAGTATAAAAACTCATTTTCTTTCTCCTTCTCTCTCCCTGTAACATCTATCATAGACATCCTTCTAACACAGATCTACCTCATTTTTAGAACATTTTAAATAAACATAATATACTGTTAAATACATTAGCATATATATATTACATATTTGTTTCATATAAATATAGCATATTACACATTTATTTTATATAAAAATATATGAGAAATATATAATGTCAGAACAAAGGACACAGCTCCCCAGGAAAGGACAGGTGGCAACCTTACTTAGCCATCTAAACACTGGTTTAGATGACCTTCTCTCTAAAATTCCATGATTAAGCCTAGAAAATCCTCAGCGTTTACATGCCTTTCATTATTACCACTAACTTCTATACTTCAAAAGATAACTAGGAATCTCTTTAACATCTCCTTCGGTAGTAAATCACAGACTGCAAAGTGCTTTTTCAGTCCTTTGATCTTCTTGTTGCATGAGTTCATGCCTGTGCTCTATTAATCATTCTCATAGGTTCCCTACATCAGGGTTTTAACCTGGGCTCCATAGGTTTCAGGATAACATATGTGGTATTTTGTGTAGATACAGTTTTTCTGGGGAAAGGGGTTTATAACTTTCTATGATCCAAAAAAAAAAAGGTTAGAAACTATAGCTCTGGATGTTTCTAGCTTTTGCTTTCAATAAATAATCTTATTATTGGCTTGGGAGTCCCTTACAATTTTCTTGTTCTTTTTTTTTGCAGCAGCAGGGGTTGGCATCTAATTTCTGGTTTGCATTTGACAGCTGTATTCCTGAGTTCCTGTTCTCACTTCCTTAATGGTCTTCTCATTAAAAACAAAAAAAATCTCTCCTACCAATTAGTTATACGGTATTTTAATTTTTTATTTTATTTTTATTTTTTGAAGTACAGAAAGATAGAAAAAAGCAGAGTGGTGCCCACTTTGGAACTGACAGGCAGGGACACAAGCAGCTGGAGAGAGCAAGACACACAGGCACATATGAAAGGCCTCAGGACAGACAGAATAGACAGCTAAAAGAAACAGAGAGGAACCTGGAAACACAGAAGGAGAGACACAAGAACTGAGCACACAGAGAAGAAGCATGGCAAAAAACCCAGACAAGCTGGCAAGGAGAGAAAGGAGAATTACTGACAGAGAGACAGAGAGGCAGGCAAGATCACCAAGAGGGACGCAGACAGACAGACAAACAGAAAGGGGGAGAGAGAGAGAGAAGGAAAGCAGACAGAGAAAGAAAACAATAAACAAAGAAAGAAGACAAAGTGATAATAGCGTTTTATACTACATAGTGCTTTATAATTTATAAAGTGCTATCACATACATTATTGCAGGCAGACAGGGAGAATCCAGCAGACAGATGGGGTGATGGAGGGATACAGGCCAATCAGACAGAAGAGCGGAAGGTGGCCAATCAGAAAGAGAGGCTAGAATGGAGCCCAAGACAGACAGTTAAGAGGAAAGACAGAACCAAGAAAAGAGAAGTGAGAGAGGAAGAGAGGGAAAAAGAGGAGAGAGACAGAGATAGAGGCTGAAACAGTTAAATTCAGGAATACAGGCAGTGAAAAAGCAAAAATGAAAGAACAGTGCATTGTGTGTAAAAGTTTTATCATCATCTTTCTGAAGAGAACTGGATAGAGGCTGTTGTCTGTGCTTCCCCCAAGGAGTTATAACATCTCTAAGGTGGCATGTGAGAAGAGCCAGAAGGAAGGATGAAAAAGGGAGAAAGTGTTAGTAAGAAGCAGAGTTTTTTAGACTAGGAGGAAGACAAACTTCTTGGACAGGCCTAGGTCAACAGCCTAAGAGTACTGCTGAACCTAAAAGGATCTAGATTCATATTCCTTTAAAGAATTCATATAGACTGGGAAAAGCAGAGTGGGCCCCATCTACTCCATGTGCATGTAAGCTCAGCTTACAAACCATCTGTACTTATTAATTGTTCCTATATTTACAAGGTATTTTTCAGTACTACCAGTGCTTTCATGGCTTTTCTCAATTAATACATAGTTCAGTGATGAAGAGACCAGCAATGGCGTGTGGTCATCAGGACAACTCAAGACGCAGAGCAGAACAGGATATTAGGACAGAGGCAAGCCCTTCCTAAGCACACCTCAGGTCCTGGTAGTAAAAGCGTGTAACTAGCAAGCAGTCAATCAAAAAGACAAGTACCATAAAATAGAGTCAAAAAAACAAGAAGCAAGAAATGGCAAGCCCAGTGAAATGGGAAGGAGTACTGACAGACTGACAGAGGAAGAAGCATCCAGCAAAACGGGGACAGAATTTGGAAGGAGTGCAGCAAAAAGCAATTAGACGTACATGTGTAGACTCTTCTCTCGAACAAGATCCAAGAAATGTGTAGTGACTACCTCAGAGGAGAGGAAGTGGGGGGTAGGAGGGAGGCTTACTCTCATACTGGATACTTTTAGTACTTTAAAAATTTTGTACCATGTGTATGCACTATCTATGTAAAAGCTGATAGAAAAAGGAGGAGAAAAAAAGCAAGCAGAGATGTGGACAGCAAGGGCCAGCCAGGCAGACAGATAGCAAAAAAGCAGAAAGACAAGGAGAGACTGGGAAAACGGCAAAAAGATTGAGGCAGGCAGACTGTGTGAGGGGCCAGAAAGATAAAAAGAAAAAGAAAGAACTGAAACAGAGGCAAGCAGTGAGAGAAGGCAGGGTAGGGGATATGGCAAGAAGGCAGGTAAGACTTTGGGGCAAGGGGGTCACTGACAGGTCTGCGGTAGCGAGACTATCACCATTGATGGGATGCTGGAACAGCGGAAGCCGAGGGAGAAAATGCTGATAAGCAGACACACTAAAAAGATACAAGCATTAAACAGTGGGACAGCAGCAAGCAAGCAGAGTAGACAGGCAAGAAGACATACATAGAGGGAGGCCAGGAAAAAGCATGAACTAAATAGACATAAAGAAGAGAAGGAACAAGTAGAAGGCAAGATAAGAGGCAAACCAAGACAGGGAACCATGGTAGGGCCTGGAAGGTAGACAAACCAAGAGACGGAGACTAAAAAAGTGATAGAGACAGGCAGGCGGGGAGACAGATGGCTAGAGAGAGAGTGGTGGGCAAACAGCCAGAGAAGCAGACAGACAACCAGAGAGAGAAAGAGGCTGCCAGCCAGTCCGGGAGGAGCAGACAGGCAGGCAGACACCATGCTAGGAGCAAGCAGGTAGAGGGGCAGGCGGAAACAAGGAGAGAAGAAAAATCAAGAGATCAGTAGGGAGAGAAGAGAGAACGGGAGATGCAGGCAGGCAGAGGGGGAGATGGACAAGAGGGAGAATCAGGCAAATTAACAGATCCATATGCAAAGCGCACTCGAGAGAACGATGAATGTTTGTACAGGGATGCACACAGCCACCTTTCGCCCCCCACACCTGCAGCTCATGGCACATGTGGCAGGCAGGCAGGCAGAGGCGCTCAGCACAGAGGGAGAGGGCGCACCATGATGCGCAGGGCTGCCCACATGCACGTGGGGACACTCTTCCCAGACACACACCGAGAGGCCAGAAAGAGGGGGAGTCAGGCACACATGAGGAAGAGGCACACGCAGTCAGAGCCCGGAAGACAGAAGTAAACAGAAAGAAGACAGAGATGGAAAGTCACTTAGAGGTGACAGAGCCTGAGAGTCAAGGGATGAGAAAGGACAGTCTCGGTAAAAAATAAAGACACACATACACAGAAGCCCATGTACAGAAAGAGGGGGATACCCAGAAGGACTAGTACACAAGGACCGAGAAAGAGGACATAACAAAATCAAATGGAAGAGAATAGGAGTTACACTCAGTACAGGAATGATATGGGAGCAGAAACAAGAGAACTCCGAAGTCCAGGTTAAGAAAAAGATGGAAATCAATGCTCAATAAAGAGCATTAGCTGGGGTTGGGGGGTGGCACATCAATAAAGAATATTTAAACCTTGTCAGCAAAAATATGCCCTGTCACTATTACTTTCTGGTTGCTGCCTACCTACCCCTCCTTCTTCAGGGGTTGCTGGGTGGCTGGCAGCTATACTCAAGAGACAGAGAAATAACCCAGGAGAGAAATGATTCCACAGGCATGGGATGGGAAGCAAGGAAAAGGTCAAAGTGAGATCAAAAGAATGGGAGGAAACTGTAGTAAGAAAAGGGTGACAAGAACGAAATAGGGTTGAACTGAGCTATTTGCCCTTCTTCCTCTGCTAGCATTGCTCAACTGGCAAGTTTTATTTTATGACTTCTCTGACCAAATCTCTGGATGAGAACGCTACTTTTGGACTCCTTTTCAACCTTCCATCTGATTCCTGATACCACTTTAAAGATAAACATTGGAGTACAGTGGGAAACCATGGGTCAGAAAGTCAGATGAAAATCTGAGTGTAACCCCCTACCTCTTTCCTTTTCTCAGTCCCAGTTACTTTTCTTTTTCATGGTACCTCAGTTTCTTCCACTCTATCAGTGTTGGAGATCATGGAGGAAGGGAAATATACTGAAAACAGGAGAAAAGAGAAAATAATTTCACAATCTTCAGACTTAAAAAAGAAAATAATTTCACAATCTTCAGACTTAACTCTTTCCCCTTTATTCTAAAAATCTGTTCTATTTACCCCCTAAATCAATTTCCCACGTCAGATGAATTTTATATTCAAGTAATTGGGGGGAGGGGAAGGCGAGGTAAAGGAGAAAAGAGTGAGGATAAAATTTACAATTATAAATCACTGAAAAGGCTGGGCAAAGGGGAGAATCAAACATGGACTCCTTTGAAAAAAACTCAATCATCGTATCTATTCATATCTCTCCCCCAAAAGTCACTAGGATTTCTATCACTTTTTTAAAGAAAGAAAAAAAAATCCAGTACCCCTTCTCACTTAAAAGATACATAGACAATTAAATGCGTTTTGACTTCAATGAGGTATGTAGAAACAGAGTTATATATAAACATATATTTCATCTTTTTCCTTTTCAATGCCTGAAGGGGAAAAAAAAAACCTTCACATCAAACCACTCCCTTCTGAAGTATTCAGAAAAAAAAAAAAAAGCTTTTCTTTAAGAGAAGGGAGGTGGGGAGGAAGAGACTAGTAAAGAAAAAAAAATTTAAATCTAGTTGGACTAGTATCTAACTAGTTAACCTTTAACAATTTATGCTGATGTCAGACTGAGCATGAGTACTGATTAATGCCCCCCCTCAAATATTTTTTTATAAGGGGGGAGTTAGTCACAGCAGCCATTTTTGTTTTATGCAGAAATCCTTCATGCCCCCCCCAACGCGCACACACACTCACTCACACACACACACACTCAGTACACAAGGAAAATATCTCTATTAATCTGTGCACTAATCAGTTATAAAAAAGGGAGAAATTTGTGGGTTTCTGGGTAGAGGCTAGGAGATGGGGGTATAACAGGGAGGAGAATGGGGGGGTGAAAAATGAAATATTAAGCCAGCCATTTTGTTTTAAAAGGGGATTTTTCCCCCCTCTCCCTTTCTTCACGGAGGGGGTGGCGGTGCTGCAGGGGGGGTTGTTTTAAAAATAATTTCCAGGCGGCCATCTTAGTGCCTCAGCTCTGAGAAATATTTCTGAGCGCCCCCCTCAGAATTTAAATATATTTAAAGCAACGGAGAGGGGGGTAGAGAGAAGTCGAAAACTTTTATATATATATATATTTTTTTAATCCTCTTCTCTTGTTCTCTCGGGAGGAAGGAGAGAAGAAAAAAAAAGTCCTCAATTCTCCCCAAGAAAATTTTTGGGGGTGGTTTGGCCCCCCTCGTCAGACGGCGGCCCCGAGGGGGGGGTTTCGGAGGGGGGTGGCCCGGGGGTTTTGGGGGCTGGGGGAGGCGGTGAGGAGGAGGAGGACGCCGCCGCCGAGGAGGAGGAGGAGGAGGAGGAGGAGGAGGAGGAGGAGGTGGTGGTGGTAGCGGTGGGGGAGGCGGGCGGGCGGTGGGTGGGGGGGTGGTGGGGGGGCCAGAGCCACAGGATGGCTTCCCCTCTGAGGGACGAGGAGGAGGAGGAGGAGGAGATGGTGGTGTCGGAGGAGGAAGAAGAGGAGGAAGAAGAGGGCGACGAGGAGGAGGAGGAGGTGGAGGCGGCCGACGAGGACTACGAGGAGGACGACGACGAGGGAGTACTCGGGCGCGGGCCGGGCCACGACCGGGGCCGCGACCGCCACAGCCCCCCCGGCTGCCACCTCTTCCCGCCGCCGCCGCCGCCGCCGCTGCCCCCGCCGCCGCCGCCGCCCCCCCCCCCGCCCGGGAAGCGGCCCCCGGCCCCCCCCCCCCCCCCGCGCCCCCCCTCCCGCCCCAGACCGAGCCGGAGCCGCGGGCGCGCGAGGCCCGGGCGGGGGCGAGGCACCCACCGCGCGGCCGAGCCGAGGCGAATCCGGGGCGCGGGGCGCCGTCTCGGGCCCGTCGCCCCGCGGCGGTCCGGGCGGTCCGGGCGGGCGGTGGCGGCGGCCGCCGGGCCAGGCCTCCTCCCCTCCCCCGCCGCACCCCTCCCCCGTCGCCACCGCCACCGCCGCCGCCGCCGCCGCCGCCGCCCGGGTTGGAGAGCGCTGGGCGCGAGCTGCATGCGCGGACCGGGCCACTCGGTCGCGGCTTTCGGGGGAGGAGGAGGAGGAGATTTTTTTTTTTAACCCTCGGCGGGGAGGGGGTAGGCAGGAAACGGCCGAGGCGAAGCCAGGGCCCCCTCCCTGGCCGCGCGAGGGACCGCGGAGACCCTGGCGGCCGGACGGCGGCGTGGGGGAGGGGCGCGTGGGGGAGGGGCGGCCGAGCGGGCGCCCCTGGGGCTTCGGCCCCGGTGGGGTTGGACCGAGGCGAAGTGGGGTTTGCCTGCGAGGAGCGGACCGCGGCCCTCACCCCCCCGTCAGGAGTTGGGAAGGCCGGGGGGAGCGGGTGACCATTGGACCCCCCCGCACCTGCGGGGACTTCGGTGCCCGCCAACTCTGGAGCGTGCGGTGGCACGTGGGGGAGGGGTCGGGTGAATGTTTGCGGGCGGCTGACGACTAGGGGCAGGTGGTGGCCACACTCCACGCGGACCACTTCCTGGAATGAGACTGGTTCCTGCCCCCTCTCTCCGGCTCGTACTACGGAGAGCAGTCATTGAAAATTGGGGACAGAGAGGAGAGTGTCTGGAAGACCAGATGCCCCCAACCCCACCCCCTTTATCTCTCCTCTGCTCTGGGCTCTTTTGTGTCAAGTGCGCCCCCCCCACCATGACCCCGTCAGTCTGGGGTGGCCTAGCTGCCCAGCTGTGACTCTCACGTGGCTGCCATTCACTGTCACTCACTCTCCCGCTGAAACCACCCACACCCTGACCACGTTGGGGGGCGTGAACTGCCCACCCAGCTGTTCCGCAGCTTGACCGTCACTCAGCACCCCTCCCCGGGGATGACAAGTCACCCGCACTGTCTGGGCAGTTCCGTCCGCGGTGGAGGGGCCTGACCGCTGCCTCGCGCGGGGGGCCCAACAGTGGTCCCCCTCCGGCCACTCTCCAGAGTGTTCAGCTAGTGTTTTTCAGAATAGACTCTAAGTGAGCATCTTTCGGGTGTCTTGGTGCGGTGCAGCACAAATGCACCAAACTTCAAAACGTCTAACAACATACTCTTTGTACAACTGTCGTATTGATCTGTGTGGCTTCAGTGGCAAATGTTCCTGTCTAGTTGAGACAGCCTTTGAGGGACTGGGGGGTGCTTTCTTGGGCCGGGGGGGGGGTATGTGTATCTAATGGAAACAAGATAAAATCCACCTCCCCTCCCATCAGGCTGGTCCGAAAACCGGAAAAGTTTTTTAAAAGTTATCCCAGAGAGCCCACTGATTTTGCAGAAGGGAAAAGGAATAAAGAATTGTGGGTAGGGGATTGCCTGGAAGACAGCAGAGGTGCTAAAAAGAGAGGAAGAAAGGATGTCAGGTTAAGTTAGGGCATTAGCAGCTCTCGCCTATGTGTGTTCCGAACTTAGAATGCGGTATTTGGGGGGTTTTGATCCCGGATTTGGGTCTGTGAAGGGGAGGGCATGAAAGAATCTGAGGTCGAGATGGGTCTTTGTGTCAATACTCCCTCCCCTTTTCCCTTTGCTTTCTAAGCATCGTCAAATGTTTTTAAAATGGTATATTTGAAATGAAAACCCACCTACTCTCTCTCCCTGGGCAATTTTATCTCCCTTTCAGCCCTCCAAGTCAAACGAGTGACCCAGATACACCCTCTCAGATGACTTTCTGAGGTAAAACTTCAGGAAAATATTTTTAGTCTGCCCATTATTTCTGTCTACCTAAGTGTGGGCAAAATAACCCTCCTCTGAGGCAATATGTTCAGGCTGCCCTCCCTCATCCTCCTCTACAAGATGAGTTTATACGTGTTAGAGGTTTCTATTGTTTTTCATTCTGACGGCTTTGATTCTCACCATTTTGTTTTACATTCTTACCCAAGACCAATTTTATCCCTTCCCCCCTCTCCAGTCTCCGTACATTGTTAAACGTTTAAAATAATAGCACTCGTGCTGATGGGGGAAGGGAGCAGGAAGCCAAAAACTCATTTCTTCTCCCTCCCCCTTCTGGCAAGTCTAGAGAAATAATATAACATAATATATAGATGTGATTCCTTGGGGGTGGGGGTGGGGAATGGTTGTGGGTGGTGCGGAAAATTCTGGTAGTTTCTTTGCAAAAGGTCTGAAAATACAAACCCACCCCCTGCATGCAATACGCATGTGCAGCAGACCTATTATGGTGGTTCGTTGTGGGGGAGGGAGGGGAATTTGAGAAAAAATAAATATATGTGTGAGAGATTGATGGTGAGATTAGAAGAAGAGAGGGGCGGGCGGGAGGCGAGGCTCGCTGCGAGGCTCCTCCTGCGTCCTCTGGCTCGCCAGGCTCCGCCCACCCTCCTCTCCGCCCTCCTCCCTCGCCGTCTTCCCGAGATCTGAGCCGGGATGTGGGAGAGTCTGGGCTCCAGGCCAGCATTGAGTGGCTGGTGAGACAGAGGTTGGGACTTAGATTTGCTTTCTTGCCCTCCCTTTCCTTTCCTCGCCGTCTACTTTGCCTCTCCGCACCACGGCCGTCTTCCCAAGTTCGGGAACCTCCCGCTGGGGTGGGGAGTGGAGTTAACTGGCTGCGAGGTCCCAGGGCTTGTGTCCCACCCCCCAGCTGGTGGAGACCGAGGCCATTTCCCTGATCCTTAGCCAGTTGGCCTGCCCTTGCCTCTGCCCCGGCGGCCTCCGTTTCCATGTTCATATTAGCCGCGGTCCCTGGGGTGAGGGAGCGTGGGCTGCTGGGGCATGGCGTCTTACTGACTTCCTATCAGGGTCCCCACTCTGTTTCCACACCTGGGGCTGCCACAATCCCCCAGTCCTAGAGTGTCTTCCTGCACAAGAGGGCACAGGATGCTGGAGCTGTGAGAAGTAGCAATGAAGGAAGGGGGTGCCCAGATTCTGAGGCAGTGGAAACCAAGGCCTCAAGTGTTAATTGTGGCTAATTTTCCCTTGGCTGTTGTGGGAAGAAGGATTGTGTATCCTAGAGCAAGGGGCTGGGCCAGGCCCAGACTTTTCCCCTCCTGCACAGCTGCCTCTGCCTGAGCAAGACAGGTCTGGCGGGTTAATCTAGTGCTTGCTGGGGGAGGGAGGCCAAACAGGGCCTCATGTCTGTGTGGCGTTGGTGTCTTCCTCCTCGCGGAGTTACTTTCTGTCCCCTAAGCCTCCACAGTCCGACAGGGGTCATGGAGAATGGGGAGAGGGGACATCTGGGAAGAACCAGCCCCGTTCTCTCTGACAGAGACATCTGGAGAGAAAGCCAGGGACCTAGCCCTGCTGAAAGCAGGTACAGGCTGTCCTCTGGGTTTGTGCTCATGAGTATGTGGTGCTTGTGCATTTGAGAATGCATATGCGGGTTGTGTCTGTGCCCGTGTCTTTGTGTGGGTCTCCCATACTGCTTATATATGAATGGGTTAGGATGTCTGGGACTAAATTTGGAGACAAGGGGTGAGACCAGGGGACAAAGGGGCAGGGTCCGTGAGTTCTCAAAGGGAACAGGGAGGAGTATATAGATTTGAAGGCACATTTCCAGTCTCCTTGGGAGGAGGAGGAATGTTTAGGTAATTGTGGAGACCTTCTTGGATGGGGTTCGGGTGTGACAAAGGAGCTAGACACTGTGATCCTGTGGGCAAGAAGTGAACATGCCTGACTGAGGATTTCTTTTCCTCCAGGGCTGTGCTGGGGTGACAGGAGGCTTGGTGATTATCTGAGGAAATATAAATAGAGGCCTCCCTCCTCACAAAAAGGATGTCAGGGCCCCAGGGTGTTAGTGTGAGAACCCAGGTGTCCACCTTTGGCTCTGCCGTCTCAGCATCTGGCTTAGGGAGCTGCCAGCTTGTGTCTCCCCACTCCAAGTGCTGGGGTCAGGCCAGGCCAGCAGCTGGGCATGGCTTCCCCAGTTCCTGGGCAGGATGCCAGCTGGCTAAGTGAGGGGGAAGGCAGGAGGAGCCCTGGCGGCGACTAAAAGGACCTGCCACAGTCAGAGCCCATGGCCTAGAGCCTGGTCCCTTGTTAGTAGGAGGGGAGAGACGGGAGTGGTTTGGCCGCTCTTCCCTTCTGACCCCTGACCTCCCATTCAGAACCCGAGCATCCCAGAGTACTCGAAACACTCTCTGTTTGCATCCAGCGGAGGGAGGCAAGGTTTGGAAGAGTTAATGCTGGAGTTCCTAGAGAGCAGCGGGAACTGAGGAGGTGAGGAAGGGAAGGGGCTGCAGAGACTGGGAACCTAGAGGCTTAGGTTTTCTGGTGCTCTCTGCCCCAAAGATAAGGATGACATTCGGCTGCTGCCTTCAGCACTGGGTGTGAAGAAGAGAAAAAGAGGACCCAAGAAGCAGAAGGAGAACAAGCCAGGAAAAGCCCGAAAACGCAAGAAGCTTGTAAGTGTTCAGGACTCCTATCTCTACAGCTAGGCTTGGAGACCCAGCCCTAGAGACCTACGTTTTCTCTGGTCTTGATTACTGTGGGGATCCTGAAGTCAGGGAGGCCTGATCCCCTCTACCTGACCCCACCCCCGCTTGCTAGCCTGTATCTCCCAGGTCTGGGACCCTAAGCTCACTCACACGGCCTAGTGAAGAGCCCAGGTGTCAACTTGACTTGCCCTGCAGCACAGAGACGCGGTTGAAAGCACAGGCTCTGGAGGTAGACTGCATGAATTTAGAGCCTAGCAGTCTTCTGTCTTCTTGGACAATTTATTTAGGTCTCTGTGCCTCAGTTTCCTCATCTACAAAAAAGTGGATAAAGATAGATGTTACTATCATAGGATTGTTGTGAAGATCAAAAGAGACGATAAATGTTATGTGCTGAGAACAGTTTCTGGCACAAGGAGGGGCTGAAGAAATAGTGTTTTTATTTCTTTCCCTTAGGACAGCGAGGAGGAATTTGGCTCTGAGCGAGATGAGTACCGGGAGAAGTCAGAGAGTGGAGGCAGTGAATATGGAACT